AATTCCTCTTCACACATCTCCATTATCTCCGCAGAGGTCACCGATTCCCCATCTTCCTCTTCATCCTCTTCTTCTCCGTAACTCCGTTCAGGGTCAGAATAATAACCACCCCCTAGATATTTTTTGCGGAAGCTCCAAGTTGGATCTGTTTCGGATGAATCCGTATCTCCTCCATCAAATCCCCATCGATTTAACTCAGCCCTCTTAATCTCAGCCTTCGATGGAGGAGGGGATCCATATCTAGGAAGTGCCTCATCATCACTATCACTCAAAAGTTGAAAACTGGGCATCGAAGGATCGCGAGATAACATCGGATCAGGGCAAAGAGAAGAAGATCTGAAGTTCAGGACCTTTAGATCTATTTTTCGAGAGAGAAGATTAGATTTAGATATAGAGAAGAGGAAGAGAGGAACTTAGATCTGGAGAGGAGGAAGAGTAAAACGCAGATCTAGAGAGAGACGAAGAAGGTGTGGGAATCGGTGAAGTGATTCGTGGTGGCTGGTCAGGTACTGAATGGGTAGGGTTTGGGTGGAGGGGCAAATAAGTCTTTTTCAAGGAAATGGGAAGAGTTTTAAGGGACGGATAAAAAAAGAAAGAGGAAGTGTTTTACGGGACGGAGGGAGTACTTGCTTAAAAATTCATATATGACTTCGTGCTAAGTTCTTTTTATTTAATTAATGATTAAAACTCGTTTAAATTTGTTGGGAACTAAAATCAAACTAAATAAGAAATGGCCAATCATGAAAACTAACCCACATTCATACCACTTGCATTAATTTAAGGGCAAATTATATCTCTATTCCTTCTGTTATTTAGTTCATGCAGCTTTAGCAATTTTGGTCCATGTCAAAATTTGCAAAAATATACTTAAAAAAAATTGAATTTTTTCAAAATATACTCCAAAATTACATTATTGTCATCAGTGCACCTAGAAATTCAGTGTCCGTTTGATACGCGAAATTGACGGAATTGGAAATTGAATTTCTATAGAATTGATTTGGATGAAATTGAATTTTACAATTCCAATTCAATTTTGGCAATAGGAATTTCAAATTAGAAATCATTTTAAATAGGACTAAAACATAGAGAAAAGTACCAAAATAAGACTTTCATGTTTTTTTTCCGGAATATGACTTTGCACTGTGGTAATGTGGCAGTGTACATGTGCAAATTACTATACTTTTTTGGTAATGTATATGACCATGTTTGGTAATGTAAGTTCTATTTTGGGAATAAAAACATGGAAGTCCTATTTTGGTATATCTTCAATATTTTAGTTCTAGTTTGGTCTTTCTCCCATTTCAAATCTACATTTTTATGCTATCAAACAGCAAAATTAGAATTGTTATCCCTAATTCCAATTTCATAGTTTGAGTTTCGTCTACCAAACGGCGCCTTAATGTTTTCCCAATAGTACTTCAAAAAAAATATTTTGTATTGATCCCCCAATTTTTGCGGTATATATGTGACCACCAACCAATATACAATTTTGAAATGTTACTGTAAGAAATAAAAATTTCTGATAGGGCTAGCAATAATTTTGTAATCTTAGATTATTCTTGTAAAATTCTCTACTGACATGAATTTTTTTTCAAAAATAAAAAAACTAAAGCTCAATAAAAATGATGGATTGAAAAAAAAGAACATTTCATCATGTCAAGCACTTCTACTAGGGGGGGGACTCATCAAATTAAATTTAATTTGATGGTGAATTTGAGGGCAAAGGAAGAACTTGTGAAGCACTCACATTTTCAATCTCTTCATCTCTTCTTCTTGGGCAAATCATCAGCCTAATAAAAGAGCCATTTTCTCCCCTTTCTTCTTCCTCCACATCAACTTGAGCAGAAACACCCATTTTCTTGGGAAATCTTTGGGCTTCAGCCTCCAAGATCTTCCTTTTGAACAGCTTCTCCTCAGCATCTCTCAAGAACTTGAAGGTGGGGGGTGGGGAGGGTCCACCACCAAGAATGGGGGTGAACTCAAACCCATTTGAGGGTTCAAAGAGAGGGTTCAGTGGGGTTAGGGGTGGGGTGAAGTATGGGGTAGAATGGGCATTGTTGTCCATATCTCCACCTTCTTGGAGAAAGAGAACATCACTTAGTCTTCTTCTTGGTTTCCTGTCTTGAGACTCCAGGTCCTCCCGAGTTTCCTCTTTTATCGTGAAGAGGAACCTCGGCGGACCCGCGAGCCTCAACAGCTCCGAGTCCATCTCCTCTTCCTGGGGTTTCGGAACCGAAACCCCAGGATCGGGAGAAGAAGGAACCGGGGGAGGAGGGGGAGGGGGAGATTGTTTTTTTTTCCTGCAGAGGAAGAAGAAATAGAAGAGGTTTTTCCCAGGACCATCTTCAATCCCCCTTCTTGTGATTCTTCTTCTCCACCACAACAAGTAGTAAAGCTCAGCAAGAAGGGCAAACAAGAGACACCCAAAAACCACACTCAAAGCCACCCCTGTTGTCCTCAAAGATTTCATCTTTTTCATCTATTATTGGTCAACCAGAGATTTGGCATTTAGAGAAGAGGGTAAATATGGGAGAACAGATGAACAGATTTTGCTTCTGTTTGTGAAAGGTCAGCAGAATTCATATACCCTATACATTAAGGGATGGATCCCCAAGCAAAGGCTGAAAGAGAGGGAGAAAAAGGGCATAAAAAAACTAAGGGTTAAAAACTTACAGGAAAGGGAATGGGCGTGGCATTCTTTATGCTGCAAAATCTGCCCGTGAAGGCAAGGGAAAGAGAGGTTATAGAGATAGACCTCATACCCACAGAATCTTAGAGTTTGGTGAAATTAATTTAGATGAAAACTGTTTGACAGCACAAATTAAATAAATCATGTATCACTATATGCACTCATTCATCTCTAGATAAAAGTAAATACTCCACTCTTCAGTAAAATTAATAACACGGTTTTAAATTAATACTAATAAATAACTTATCGGTGAGGTTCCGTTAACACTAGAATTCAGTGCCCACATATTACACTCGTCCATTATGAGGCACTTCCGTGCTCTATTTGTAAAATTGATAGTTATTACCCTTCTAACCACCCCTAGACCCCCTACCTCAACCCCACCCATGCCCCCCTAAGCCATCCTCCGAATGTGTGGCTATTATGAGCTATTATGCAAATTCATAATAGCCACACATTTGGATGCGAGCTTAGGGGGGCTAAGATATGGAGTTTAGGGTGGTAGTTCGGGGGGTTGGAATCATCAATTTTGCAAACGGAGCACCGAAAATATTCTAAAATGACAGTGATAACGGTGTATCACCGTACTCCGGTGTCACTAGTCACAAGAACATGCCTAAACACATACTCTCTCCCTCCAATATATTTGTCCAGTTTAGTATTTTTGAGTCAAACCAAAAAACATTAATCATCAATTGTTCATAATTTGTATTACGTATTAATACAATAAAATCAAATTTTGAAAAATTCCAAACAAGATCTATCTAATGAAATTAATTTTATACTAATATACATTGCAAATTTTATTTAATTAAGTTCAAAAGTTTATATAGTTTGACTCGAACAAGTCAAACTGAACGAAAGAGAGTTATAATATTACTCCCTCCGTCCCCCATAGATCTTCTCATTAGCCCTTTTTATTTGTCCACCATAGATCTTCTCATTACCTTTTTTAACACTTAAAATACCACAACTACCCCCACTTACTTTATTTATTACATCTCACCTACCTCATTTAATACACTCCACCCATTTTCATTAAGGGTATTATGGTAAACTTTCACCTTTTTTCAACTCTCCTAAAAAACCGCAAAAAGTCAAAACGAGAAGATCTTAGNATAGATCTTCTCATTAGCCCTTTTTATTTGTCCACCATAGATCTTCTCATTACCTTTTTTAACACTTAAAATACCACAACTACCCCCACTTACTTTATTTATTACATCTCACCTACCTCATTTAATACACTCCACCCATTTTCATTAAGGGTATTATGGTAAACTTTCACCTTTTTTCAACTCTCCTAAAAAACCGCAAAAAGTCAAAACGAGAAGATCTTAGGGGGACGGAGGGAGTATAATCTAGAAAAATCCATAAATATCTACTAATAATTGCTCCTATAGTACAAAAAAGAAGTATGAGAGAGTATTTAAGCAATTCCATGATATGTGTCTGGCCCCAATGGGAAAATTATGCTAAAGGAACTGATGGGAAGGAAGACCGTTTTGAATTAGGGTTAGTGTTTTGAATAATGACACGAATTCATTATGAAAATTATAAGTTAAACGATTTGATTAGATATTTTTTTTAAAAAAATGCTAATATGAAAAGTTGAAATTGTACTGTGAAGTAAGCATGCAGTTCCAAAGTCAATTAGGGGGTGTTTGTTTTTCCGCCAGAAGACCTTCTGACGTCTTTTGTCTGCGCCGCGCAGACGCGCGCAGATGATGGGCTCTGCAGATTGTTTGTTTTTTGGAAGACATTTCACTCAAAAAGGTCTTTCTGGCATCTTCTTGGAGAAGACATTAACCAATGTCTTCTAACATCTTCTCCTTTTTTTCTACTTCTCTTCACCACCACAACTGTTCACCGCCACCGTCCACCACTACCACCGTCCACCATCACCGTCACCGTCCATCACCATCGTCGTCCACCACCACCGCCACCATTCACCGCCGCCACCACCACCGTCCACCACCGCCGCCGTCACCCTCCACCACCACAATTGTCCATACACCACCACCGTACACTACCACCATTAATTTATATAGCAGTCTATAGACATTAAAAAAACAAATAGTCTTCTTCTTGCAGACCGCAGACCTTCGGTACACCACTTCTCCTGCAGATGTCTACATTAGTGGTCCGCAGACCGCAGACCTTTTCCTGCAGAAAAAACAAACACCCCTTAGAATAAAGCTGCTTTATTAATTATTATTATGGTAAAGAATGCACTAGTAGAATATAAGAACAATATTAAGATAATCTAATTTATTACTTCTTGTTACGAATTATTCCTTTCTTAATCCAATTTGATGCTGCTTTTACAAAAATGAATTCAAAGTTAATTTTAGTTACTCCACTTCTAAACCCGTGTCAAAGTTTTTTTAAGGGAATGACCAAATGAATAAACATTTTAAAACGAAATTATCCAATTAGCCTCCAACACCTTTATTTTTACTCCAATGCTTTGATTTTTTAAGTGTTTTATTTATACCCTCAAGTCAAGTGCTTTGTTTCTTAATGTTCTATAAATTAGTTTATTTGTAAGTTAATGTTTTTTCCACTTTATCTTCCTAATGAATACTCGGTGCTTAACTTTTTAAATTTTAAATGATTAATTTATTACGAACTTAAGTCAATAATGCTTTTTTCAAGTTTGGTTTTTAGGAAAGTACTTAAAAGTAACTTTGGTAGTTAAACTTTGATGCATTGGAAAAATGTAAACTTTACCAACTACTCCCTTCGGTTTTCAAAACGGTTCCTCTTTTGACTTTAGGGAAAAATAAGGAAAATGTAATTTTAGTTGACTTTCCAATTTTGCCCCTGATGTGATGTGTAAAAGTAAGATGTGATAGTTTAGTTATTAGTGAAAAAGTATGATGTGATAAGTATGGTATGAAAAAGTAGGAGTAAAAGTAGTTTTTTAATAGAAAAGAGAAGTGTTTTAAGAAAAACAAAAAAATGAAAGAGGAATGGTTTTAAGAAACGGAGGGAGTACAATATATAAATTTGATATATTTATATTCGGGTTTTTAATGTGTAGCAATTCTCCTATATTACGGGCCGTCTAATTGTCGCCTAGTCGACTTGGAGTCTTCGGGGTATCCCAACGGCGCGCCTCGACTTAGGGCCGTGATAATTATGAGAATATGGAGTTTGAAATTTGAAAGAGACCATCTAAATTCTACGGAGTAAAAAATAAAATCTAAAAGGTGAAGTTTGTATACATTTTCAATTTTAACTCAAACTCGAATCTGAAAAACAAAAATTAGATTTAGAGACTAAGGGGCTGTTTGTTTCAGCCTCTTAATGGTTCAGATGTCTGAATGATCCAGCACTTAATGGTTCAGACTGTTTGTTTCAGCCTCTTAATGGTTCAGATGTCTGAATGGTTAAGAGATTTGCCTCGGAATGATTAAGTATTATACAAAGTCTGAATGGTTAAGAGCTGTTATCTGAATTGATCAGACATTTGCCTCTGAATAGTTAAGCATTATACTAGCTCTTAATGGTTCAGACCTCTTACTGGTTCAGCACTTAATGATTCAGACCTCTTACTGGTTCAGCACTTACCCATTCAGAAGTTGCCAAACAGCCCCTAAATGCACAAAAATCTAAATAATTAGATTTGTTTTAACAAATCTCAAATATAAAAAAAAAAGTGAACAAAATATGAAGTGAGGAAATGGACCAACCCACTTTCTCGTCTCATGTTCTACCTATTAGGAAGATGGGAAGCACAAATGCGTAGTCTCATTGGCAGAGACAACCGTGTAGCAATGTACCAAAGGATGTTTCTACCTATTACGAAAAAAACAAAAAAGATGTCTAATAGATTGTTCTTTTTAATTTATTTTTATTATTCATTACTTATTTTTATTAGAATCATACTCGATTATAAATAATTTTAAATATAATTACAATTAGATTAAAATTAGCTCAAACAGATCAGAACAAATCAAATTAGGTGAAGAGAATAAGCCCTAACTGCCTTAAGAGCTTTCTTTAGCTTGAGTGGTGGGAGGATTATCTCAAGGATTATGGATGTGAAGCTCACCCAGGTTTGAATGTTTGAACTCGAGCAAAATCTTTGATTTTCTGTGTTTATTAGGTTGATTGGCATAAAAATTATATATTAGGCAACTCTTCACCTCTATTTAAGAAATACTCCCTCCGTCCCAAAATATATTACGTTTTCATTGGTTATTTGATAAAATAATATATTCTCGACACCTCTTATTCCGAAGAACTTTTTACGTAGTTTTTTGATATGGAAATTTTATTTTTAATGTCTATACCAATATGTAAATAAAATGAATTTAAAAAACTTGATATTTTGCTTTGGGAATACAAGTGTGACAAATATTTAGGAAGAGAGGGTGTATAATTCAAAGATTGTTACAAGAGAGTCTCAACTAGTAATGGCAACATCACATAAGGCCGGTCAAGAGAGAGGCTTAAATTTTTAATTACATATATTATCTTTTTGTCTATTACTAAAAATACGAGTATATTTTATTTCTGCATAAAATATGTTGGCCAGCGGAGGTTATGTGGGACAAGTCACAATCGAATATCGTGGGCGCTTGTGTGTTGAATGCACTATAAGGCAAGGGGTGCACCTCTTCTAACACTAGCTAAGTGATTTTAGAAGAGTTGGTAGCGCCTGAGGTCTTACAAGTGGTATCGGAGCCAAGGTCACGAGTTTGATTCCCAGCGGGAGAAATTGCTGAGGGGAAAATTGTTGGCCATGTGTGCATCAATTATCCTGTGGCGGAGGATAAATGGGTCAAGTCATAATCGAATGTCGTGGATGCTTGTTTGCCGAATGCAAGGGTAGTGTATGCGCTTCTTTTATCACCAATTGATTTTAAAAGAGTTGGTATGCCTGAGATCCTACGATATATTCTTATTTGAAGGTAATATTCAATTATTTTTTTATACCACAACTCTTTTGACATTGATTTTAATGCCCTTACCCCCGAAATTGGTGCACATCCCCTAACACTGTAACCAAATGTCAAAAGAAATGGACTATGTTTACTTTCTTCTATTTTCTACTCCCTCGGCCTAAAATTTTTTTCCTGTCTTGACTTTTTTTATATCAAATACGAACACTCTTTGACCATAAATTAAACACAATCTAAATAAATAAATAATATAAAAAATTGATATATTAAAACTATATCATACAATGAATCCAATTATATTAAATTTATATTTTAATTAAATATACATTTCTCATAATTTATGGTCAAAGAGTGTCACTGTTCGACTAAAAAAGATCAAAACAAGAAAGGTTTTTAGGTTCGCATAGAGTAGTTTTCTTTGTAAAATTTCATTTTTATTTTTTTTTTATAAAATGGGTTGCATTGTTTCATTTGGTCTATGATCCATAAAATATACTCCCTCCGTCCCTCAAAGAATTTTCTTTTTTGATCAACGTGCAAAATCCCGTGGTTTTTGAAAAAATTTTATTTACAAATTGGAAAAGAAATAAAAAAAATTATATTTAAAAAATACATAAAAAAACTCTACAAAAAAAGAGGTGATATTTTATTTTATCAAATGATCAATAAAAACATGCAAACAAGTAAGAATTATGGAGAGTCTGTAATAGTAAATAGGAAAATCTTTGATGGGCCGAAAGAGTACAGAAGAGTATCAGTTCTTATTTTTTAATACCTTTGTGGATTTAAAATAAATAGAGAAAGGATAGGCTTCCAATGTTTTAGTTTTCAAAAAAAAGTACATTCAAGTATTCAAAATTCCCACCTAATTTATTTGGGCCCGCTAAAATGGGCTTTAAAAACTAGGTGAAGAGCATATTGGGCGACAAGAGAAAGCAAAAGACGAAAATGGGCCCATTTCATACCACGCTATGGTAAATCTCCCTTCAGTTAATTTTAATTTGCTAAAATTAGTTGTGTAAATGTTTGTGATTATTTAGGGGCATGAGTTAGTGTAGTTTTTGAATTTTATTGTTTGTGAATTTGTTTGAGATTTATGCAAACATGAACTTTTAGAATGTATAACATTTAGTGTAGTTTTTATCAAAAAATTATTTGTGTAATGTGTCGAATTAGATTTGTTTCAATCGAAACTTTTTTTATTGAACTTATTTGAACTGAAAAACATTGACTTTATTTGAACTTAAACTCCAAATCAATTATAATTTTAACAGTGGGGTTCTAGAGCCACTTAATTTGAGTAGCTTCGGAGGATATCGATTCAATTAGGACACTTACAAACTTTCTTTTGCAAAATAGTAACTCCAAAATTAACTAAATTTGTCAAGTGCAATTGATTGTGGTGGGCGGTGGTGGATAAGTTGTGGTCGAGACCGGGAATATGGATTTACCGTAGGTTGGGATAGATAAGAACTATCAAATTTGCAAATGAAGTATCGTGTCTCAATTGAGTAGATATCCTTCGAAGCCACTCAAATCGAATGGCTCTAGAATCGTACACAACAACATTATGTGAATGTGGATTCGGTAGAGTTAAACATGGTAAAGTATTAAGCTCATACGGATACCGTACCAAATATTTTAATTTGGTAAGATTTTATGTCATATCGATTTCGATCCTAAAGTTATGGTTTGATATGGATTGAGATAATTTGGTATATGTTTCAGTACATATCGAGATGAATACATAGACGCCTAATTAAAACTTTAAAATGTCACAAAACCCTTTGTTTATGAAAAATTAAAAGTACATTTAAATAAAGAAACATGGTATATTTATAAAATGAAAATTTATGCAAGAAATGTGTATTAAACTTATTTTATATTTCAAAGTTAAAGTGAACGGATAATAACAAAATGATATTTCAAATGTAAATATTTTTAATTTCATCTAAAAAAATTAAACTCAAATAAAAGAACAATGTACACATAATAAAATTTGAACCCGATTTTTAAACAAACTTATTATTTAATAAAAAGATAAAAATTTATTATATTTATAAAATGGAGTCTATAAGTATAAATATTGGGTTTGAAATTTTTAGTCTGGGAAATTACTCGTGGTACCCCGTATCATTCCCAAATATCAAAGCGAATGTTCAGTTCAATGTAGTTTGATAGTATTTTTTTCAATTAAATATTTCTATTCAAAACATTTTTTTTGAGAATTTCCGTTATCGATTCGATACTTGCTTAGCTCAAGTATCCCATTTGATTGGCTTGCCACTTTGCCCATTGCCATTGGCAAAGATGTCAATTGGATGCCACTAGCTACTACCGTCTAGGGATGTAAACGAACCGAATCGAAGCGAATACCGATATATTTGAATTTGTATTTGTTTAATTTTTTCGAATACGAATCCGAATTCGAATATGAGACGAATTCAAAATAAGATTTGAATAAGTATTTGATTAATATTCAAATAGTTATCGAATCATAAACGAATATTCGAATAATCATACTATGTAATTTATATGATGGACCAACATCAATTTGTAATTTAACTTACGATACTCTTTATACTATACCATATTCCGCATATAAAAACATTAATACATTTGCATCTTACACATTATATTTTATAAAATATAACTATTAAAAATCATATGCTTTATATTTTCGTGTTACGTTAATTTCTTGAATTCTTAGTATTTTAAATACACTTTATACTATATTACTTTGCTTGACTTTTGATGTTGAAAACATGGTCTGTGTATATATATATATATTCGAATATCATCCGAATCGGATATATCCCTATTTGTATTTGATTAATATTCGAATAAAAAATAATATTTGAATTTGAATTTGTATTTGAATAACACAAATTCGAATCATCATATTCGAATACGAATCCCGAATCAAATTTAAAATATTTAATTTGTTTACATCCTACTACCGTCTTCCAAAAAGCCAGCTGCTTGGGATAATGTGCGTGCCGGGCTCTCTCGACTCGCGCATTCCGCAAACGACGTCGTTCTCCAAGTGACGCAGCCAATAAGCGCAGCGTATCTGTCTCTCAAACCCCAAATCCGATTTCTCAATCTCCTCCATCATTCCCATTCGTCTCGCCGATTCAGAGCCCTTTTTTTCTTCTTTTTCAGGTATCCGAAAATCTCTGTTTCTCCGTCTTTGTCTCTCCGGTTGTCTCGAGCATACACTTTTCCGGGTCATCGTTCGACCCGGATTTCGAATGGGCATAGGTCTTCCCAGATTCAACACCATGTTTGGCTTCTTTGATCTCTGAAAGGTGACATATTTAGTGGGTATTCTGTGAATCTTTGAGTAAGATCACATCTTTTCTGATTTTTTGGATATGAAGTTTCTTGATGAATGGTTACACCTTGTGTTTTTATAATGGTCTCTAAAGAATCCAATCATTTGTGGGTGTTTGATGAATTTTTTGATCTCTGAAAGTTTCAATCGTTAGTGGGTCTTTCATCTTTGATGAGATTGTGGGGGAAAAAAATCTGATTTTTATGGATATTAATCTGTGGGTTGACTGGTTGTGCCTTGTTTGGTTATTCTCTCCATGTTTCGCTGGTTAATGGGTAGTTTGAGTTCTTGGAAATAAGGATGCCTGCAAAAGAGAAAGTGGTCACCACCTTATCAATGGAAAGCAATCATTTTTCCACACTTTTGTCTATGGATTCTTCCTCAATGCCGCATGATGAGTTCGAGAGGGAGATGAATCTCAGCTTTATTCCTCCTGATATAAACATCCCTCTTTCTGATGCCCCTACCACTTTCCCGAGCCCCGATGAGTTTGGGCTGGATGTTGGGCTTGCACCCCAGCCTTTCGAGGCGGACCCGAACTGTAATAATGGGACCAAAATTGGGAAGAAGTGTGCCAAGAGGATTGATAGTGTTTGGGGTGCTTGGTTTTTCTTTAACTTCTACTTCAAACCAGTTCTTAGCGATAAGTCGAAGGCTAGTAATGGGAACCGCTTGAACAAAGGGGTAGTTTCGGGATTCGATAAATCCGAATTGAATTCGGATGTTTTCCTAGTTCAACATGATATGGAGAATATGTACATGTGGGTTTTCAAGGAGAGGCCGGAAAATGCGCTTGGGAAGATGCAGTTGAGGAATTACATGAACGGGCATTCCCGCCAAGGACAGAGACCTTTCCCGTTCAGCGCGGATAAAGGGTTTATTCGGTCTCACAAAATGCAGCGGAAACATTACCGCGGGTTATCCAATCCGCAATGCGTCCACGGGATTGAAATCGTTTGGTCCCCTAATCTCACGGGCATCAATGAGGACGAACTGAAGAAGTGGATGGAACTAACAGGTAGGGATTTGAACTTCTCCATCCCACCCGAAGCCACTGATTTTGAATCCTGGAGGAATTCCCCGACAGCAGATTTCGATCTGGATAAACTGAATCCTAAAAAACCTGTCAACAGTTCGAGTCTAAATCTAAACGGTGAAGGTCCTCTAGACATGTTGGCAGTGAGCAACAAAAGAAAGAGGAACGGTGATGATGAAATGTGTTTATCGACTAGTAATGGCTCAAATCCAGAGAAAATCTTGGATTCGTCCCTCCATCAAATCGAACCATCCTGGCTGAGCGAATGTTCTGGTGTGATGAGGTGCGCGTACGGCCCTGTGACCGCTGCAAAGACCATATATGAAGACGAAGAGGGGTTCTTGATCATTGTCAGCATGCCATTTGCAGATCTGAAGAGGGTAAAAGTGACTTGGAGAAACACAATCTCACATGGGATTGTGAAGATATCATGTGTGAGCACCGGGTGTGCCCCAACGATAAAAAGACAAAACAGGGCATTCAAGCTCACGGACCCCGCACCAGAACATTGCCCTCCGGGGGAATTTGTTAGGGAGATTATCCTCCACAGTCGCATCCCGGAGGACGCGAAGCTGGAAGCGTTTGGGGACGAGTCTGGGACGATGCTTGAGATACTCGTCCCCAAACACCGAGCGGGGCCCGAGGAGCACGAGGTTCGGGTCTGCCTTCGCCCATCCCCTTGGAGCGAGTGAATAGTGTGGTGTGCACACATTCATTGGCCTTCGTAGTTACTTTAGTGTTTGATGAGTATAATTTATGTATCTGATCTTGGTGGCATCAACTAATACAAGCAGTGTTTCTCATTTCACCAGAAAATGTTGAGGTGCCTTATTTTCATATGTTTGTGATGCATAGATGTTTTTGACGCCGGACTTGGGTGTCATATTATGGCTTCCTAGCTCCCCGCCCCCCTCCCTCGGGATTGCCAATTTGTTGCAACGATAGTAGCGAACTGGCGATTTCGGGGTACACGGTGAGAGTCATCACCCGATGCTACCCACCCCGCCACTTGGCATCCCACGCACCCTGCCTCTGCATTCTCTCCCGCGGTCTTGCACCGCCCGCTCATCCCTCATGCAGCTATAGAAGTGTTTAAATTGTACTCGGCAGTATCGTTTTTTAATACCAAATTTTAAATATCAACAATGAAAAAATAGTTTTTTGAGGGAAAAATTTCTCCTACTAAAAAAGTACGAATAATTTTTTGAGAAAGATTTATCTTTCCAACCAAACAGACTAAGAAAAGTGTATGGGACTATTAATTATTTTTAAAACATTCCAAAAAATATTAACAATTATTTTTCTAAAAACAAGTGTTTTTTTGTTCACGGAGTGTTTTTAAAATTTAGTAACCTTTTTTTTACTCAGTAACAGTTTTTGGAATCACTTTGTCACACATTTGGTAGTGTACTTTTCAAAATTTCCATGAATTCTTCAAATAATTGCCATTTGAATACTTGAAGACGTTCTAGTACTCCAATTCTTGGTGAACTTTATTACAAAATTACTCTTTCCTCGTTCCGACTCCGTCCCCCGCTCGAGTACCACTGATGGGCCGATTCCTGACGGGTGGCTCAAACCTTGTGCCCAAAGTCATTCAGGTATCCGTAGGCGTGTGGAGTCAACCGTGGGCCGGCCCAGAGCCTTGGACCTAACCTGACCCGGACCGGAGCGGCGTGGAAACTCCATCTTCGAGAAGGAGACGCGGCTAAGTTGCAAAAAAACAGCCGAAGTAAGAGAATCGCGGCAATCTCGGATTAGTTCCCATAAACTGTAAACTACCTTAATTATGTAGAGAAGCATGTAAAAATAGATAGGGTCCAAACGGAAAACCTCAAACTAAACCTAGCGTACAATTTCATAGTTCTAGATTACTCATCTCTTAGTTATTCTTACGATATGCCTTTTCAAGTGAGATTATTTGATGAAATTCTCGTACATCACACATTTTGCTTGAGGCATATGTTTCCGCCGCCTGTCACAAGATGGAGATGGGGCGGCGGTGGCCGAAGTGTGGCGAGGCAAAGAGGTGGTGGAGCGTTAATGGAGTTTGGGATGAATGGGGTTGGTGGGAAAAATGAATCTATGTGCCATGCCATTTTTTTAGGACCATGCTAGGGTGCCACCACATGGGTGCTACCATGGGTGCACCCATGCTTCGCACAGACAAACACAGACTATAATTGTCTGTGTCGCATGCTTCGCACAGACAAGACAAACACAGACGATAATTGTCTGTGCGACACAGACAATTATAGTCTGTGTTTGTCTGTGCGAAGCATGGGTGCACCCATGGTAGCACCCATGTGGTGGCACCCTAGCATTTTCCTTTTTTTTAATGATTCAGGTGTGAAAGGAGAAAGACTTTACAATTCCAAATTAGCTTAGCATAGTGCTTTGAAGGAAATGAATTTTCTAGAAAAACTTTTTTAAAAAATAAATTTTCATGAGATATTCTAGTATGGTTGATCTTTCAAACTAAAATTAGTCCTGAATTGGTATTTAACTTGTTCTAGTTTGAAATATCAGTGGAGCAGCAAAATAAAAAAAAAAAAATCCTATTTGCCTATTTGGTGCTCAAAATGAACTGGAAAAGGCCCTCTTTTTATTACAACTTCGAGCTCATTTTACAAAACAAAACAGTAAGACATGATACTCACAGTTACACACTCAGACATCATCAGATCGACTCAATCAACTTCCTCGATCTTAGGACCGGCACCGCCGCCGGGACGGGCGGCAGCGTCGTCCATCCCGGTGTCCATATCGGGGCCGACGCCGCCACCACCGGCTTGGTACATCTTGGCAATGATGGGGTTACAGATGCCCTCGAGCTCCTTCATCTTGTCCTCAAACTCATCGACCTCTGCAAGCTGGTTCCCATCCAGCCACTGAATCGCCTGCTCCACCGCCTCCTCGATCTTCTTCTTGTCTCCGGCGGGGAGCTTGGAGCCGATCTTCTCGTCCTTGACTGTGTTCCTCATGTTGTACGCGTAGTTCTCCAAGGCGTTCTTCGCTTCGACCTTCTTCTTGTGCTCTTCGTCCTCCGATTTGTACTTCTCGGCTTCTTGGACCAGCTTCTCGATCTCCTCCTTGGACAGCCTGCCCTTGTCGTTCGTGATCGTGATCTTGTTCTTCTGCCCGGTCGTCTTGTCCTCCGCAGACACGTTGAGTATGCCGTTGGCATCGATGTCGAAGACCACGTTGATTTGTGGGACCCCCCTAGGGGCTGGAGGGATGCCACTGAGCTCGAACTTGCCGAGGAGGTTGTTGTCTTTGGTCCTTGTCCTCTCCCCTTCGTAAACTTGGATCAAGACGCCCGGTTGGTTGTCGGAGTACGTGGAGAACACTTGCTCCTTCTTTGTAGGGACGGTCGTGTTTCTCGGGATCAAAACTGTCATGACCCCACCAGCTGTCTCAAGGCCGAGAGACAACGGAGTGACATCGAGAAGGAGAAGGTCTTGGACCTTCTCGTTCCCTTCTCCGGTCAAAATCGCGGCTTGAACTGCGGCGCCATAGGCAACGGCCTCATCGGGGTTGATGCTCTTGCAGAGCTCTTTCCCATTGAAGAAGTCTTGCAAGAGTTGTTGTACCTTAGGGATCCTAGTGGACCCACCGACGAGGACGATGTCGTCTACTTTGCTCTTGTCCATCTTCGCGTCCCTCAAACACTTCTCGACGGGTTCCATGCATTTCCTAAAGAGGTCCATGTTGAGCTCCTCAAACCGGGCACGGGTAATGGTGGTGTAGAAATCGATCCCCTCGTAGAGGGAATCGATCTCTATGGTTGTTTGGGCTGTGGAGGAAAGAGTCCTCTTTGCCCTCTCACATGCTGTCCTTAGCCTCCTCAAGGCTCTAGGGTTCCCACTGATATCCTTCTTGTGCTTCCTCTTGAACTCTTGAACAAAATGGTTCACCATCCGATTATCAAAGTCCTCACCACCAAGATGAGTGTCACCCGCTGTGGCCTTAACTTCGAAAATCCCTTCTTCGATCGTGAGGAGGGAAACGTCGAAAGTGCCCCCGCCGAGGTCAAAGATGAGGACATTCTTCTCGCCCGAACTCGACGCCTTCTTGTCAAGGCCATAAGCAATGGCAGCCGCGGTGGGCTCATTGATTATTCGCATCACGTTAAGCCCAGCAATCACGCCTGCATCTTTGGTCGCTTGACGTTGGGAATCATTGAAGTAAGCGGGCACAGTCACAACCGCGTTCTTCACAGGCAAACCCAGGAAAGCCTCAGCAATCTCCCTCATTTTAATGAGAACCATTGAGGATATCTCTTCTGCAGCAAACTGTTTCTCCTCACCCTTGTATGATACCACAATCTTCGGCTTATCCCCTGGGCCAGGAATCACTTTGAATGGCCAAAGCTTCATGTCGCTTTGAACAGATGGATCAGAGAATCTCCTTCCAATCAATCGCTTAGCATCTGAAATCAAAAAATTTAAGTTCTAAATCATTTCCCAAAATTGAAAATCCCATAAATTCTCAGCGGAGAACAGCAGAAAATGGACAGTTTCCACTGGAAAATCGAGCATCTACCTTAAAATCACTTTTAAAAATAAACTCTAAATTCTCAAAATCGACTTGATTAGAAGAGTATCAGTGGAAAACTACAAAAAATGGACAATTTCTACTAGAAAAATTGAGGATCTACCTTAATTTCCATACTAGAAATCAGCTTCATAACTTAAAATCACTTTAAAAAACTCTAAGATTGAGTGCCTACTTTAATATCCATACTTCCACAACCTAAAATCATTTTAAATTCGCAGAATAAAATTGAGTATCAGGCACGACCTAAAATCAAATTGAACCAGAAATGCCTTGGCAACTCCTGCTGGAAATATTGACTTTCTGCCAAAATTTCCAACATAGAATAGAAAATAAAGCCATATTTCACAGATCTACTTACTTTCCAAGTTGATTCAACAGCGAAGAACAGTCAGGGGAAGTATAAAATACAGAATTTCAGATTGCAGGCCAAGGAGCTTACCGAAAACGGTGTTAGTAGGGTTCATAGCAACCTGATTCTTAGCGGCGTCGCCGATGAGACGCTCGGTGTCGGTGAACGCCACATAAGACGGCGTCGTCCGGTTCCCCTGATCGTTGGCGATGATCTCCACGCGATCGTGCTGCCAAACTCCGACGCACGAGTAGGTCGTTCCGAGATCGATTCCGATCGCCGGCCCTTCTCCTTTCCCCGCCATTACTTCCGATAAGCTTAACAAGGACGGATTGTTGATTCGGAAAGCTTCGATGGATTTTCAGAGAGCTTTTTTTCCAGCTTTTGTATTTCACGTTGAACTGCAGGGGGGG